AAGCTACTTTTGTACTGATAATTTAGAACCACATGAATAAAAAAAAAATATGAACTAAAATCCACCAGTGAATTACCGAGATGCTTCGTTCATTATTGCATAACCAATTTGTTATGTGACTTCTTCGTTCACATTTTTTAATTTTAAATGCAAAAAAATCTATATAGCTTGTTGTACCATATTATCAAAGTGCCACAAGTTGTTGCATCCAACTATAGCTCGGCTTGGTTTGAGGTGATACCAATAAATAATTAAAGATCACCCTAAATATTAAAATATATATATAAACTACAGTTGAACTTATTTTGAGAGGATATCTTGAAAATTAAAATTTTAAGATTTTAATTTGAAAATTTCAAATATGAATATCAAATGAATCGATTGAAATTTATGAGATACAAGAGAATATTATTATTATTATTATTATTATTATTATACAAGTCAAGATATCGAAAATATTAAATAAAAAAAAACTATACTTCTGCATGGCATTAATGTTGTGTGTCATATCTTCCTCAAGCTTCACCTTCCTTCATTTATTATGTAGGATAATGTGTTGGTAGTCAATTTGGCTTTCCAACAATTTCTTGGAGTAATGGCAAATTTCATAGTACACTTTAAAGCATTAATTAAAATATTTCTGCTAGCAATTCATTGTTTATAAAGGAAAAAACCAATTATTTTAGCCATCTAAAAACAAAATTTAAAAAAAAAAAATCATATTTAAATTAATTTATCGTAAAATAAGATAGTGCTACACACATTAATATATTGTACTTGAAGCATGTACTCATCTATTTTCAAGTTTATTACCATAACTTAAGCCAAAACTATTAAAATTCTGTGACCTATAATAAAATTTTATGTCAATATGAAATGAGTATTAAATGAGTACATATTAATATTTTTCCATATAATATTAGTCATTTTTATTATTGTTTTGATAATTTTTATATAAAGAAAGCAAATGCTAGGAGAATTAGAGAAATTAAATTTATGTTTTGGGGACTGAAACTCAGGTTTACAAAGAATCTACCTCCTAATGGTCTAATGGAGATGGGTAAATCATTTACATTCAATTCGTTATTTTGATAATATGATAAAATATATTTCAAAATTTGTTTGAATCTAAATATTTTTTAAGATCATCAGTTTTAATTTAAATATCAATTTTAATAAATTTTTTTAATATGTATTTTATTGTTATTTTTTTTTCATAATTACAATAATTTTTATTAATATTTGTAATCTCATCAAAATTAATTTTACTAATTATCTAAATAAATAATAAATTATTCAAGACAATAATAATAAATATCATAACTCCTAAAAAGGGAAGATTATTATAAAAAAATGAGGTGCCAAATTGAAGAAATATGTGAGAGGGGTGGTCCATGGAATTTATGAAGAGGCAGTCCCACAGCACAATGTGATGCAAAACCCCAAAAAGCATCAAAACCTATGGACCCCACATTTTGTTATTGGCTTTTTCTCTTTCTATCTGTTGTTGCCCTAATCTGATGGCTGTGAGCCCCACCGTTGCATGTCACCTGGTTTCCGGCAACCAGCCGGTTAACTCACTCCGTGGTTGACCGTCTGCAGCCGGTTGGTACCTTTGGGCCTTTGGTCCAGCCCATCACGTGTGGTTGCTGTCAGGTAAAGGGGTGACAGTGGGTGGGTGAGGGGACAAATGATTAGGGGTTCTCAAACATTTTTGTTAAAGCTACTCACTGGTGTACTAGATTTGGACAGGTCACCATACCAAGGAATTGCATTACTTTTTCATTAGATCATTCATTGTTTGAGGTTTTTTTTTTTTTTTTTTTTTAATTTACGAAGATATTAAAGAAAAAAGAGTGTTCAGATATTAGATCTAAACTTTTTGAAGAATAATAGCAATAACTTCTAAATCAAGCTTGAATTGTTGTTTATTTTGGAAGATTTAGGTTAAAGGGATAGATAAGAAAAATTATTGAAATCATGATTTAAGGTATGATAGAACAAATTTATTCACTTATAATCAGGGAAGGTAAAAATATCCGAAGTCGAAGGAGTTTTGATCCGATCTAACCTTTTAGAGTCGATTTTTTTTTTTTAAATTGAGTATCGGGTCGATAAGATCGAGTGGTATAAAAAAATTCAGGTTTGGATCGAGGTTCGATTTTAGGCAAACTCGACCTTATCTCGACCTACTATATATATAAAAATTATTTTTTAATTAATTATTTAATTTTATATATTATATATATAATTTTATTTATATTTAAAATAATATTTTATTAATTTCGGGTTGGATCAGATCGAATCGAATTTAATTTTATATAATATCAGATCGAATCGATTCGAGTATTGAAAATAAAAAATTTGTTGGGTCGAATACATGTATGAATTTTATATGTTTAAAGTCAGATTAGATTCGGGATGAGCAAAAACCCATCCCGACCCGACCCGTTGTCATCACTAACTTATAATTGTGCCTTTAATCCCGTAGTATCCAAATCCAAATTGTTTTATCACTTTAACATTAGTTGTACACTAACAAAAATATGATAAATTGTGATATCTTAATTATATAAAATAAAAAGAAAATGTTTTGTGGGTAACAAATGAATGATTTTTTTTTTCCGATTTTTTTTTAGCTTAAAAGTCAGTGATTTTTTTATTAAAAAAATAAAAAAAGAAAAGTCATCTTTGCCACATGAACATGACACGTGTTAATATTTTGCCACCTAGCAATTGTTAATGAACCTCATATTTTATGACAATTTATCCTGGGGTGAAAATTTTTCAAAAAAGTCATAAATTCATATTAAAATTTGAGATTATAATAATCTTTTAAATGTGCAATATCACATTACCTTGTCCTATTTTTTAGGGATAAATTTTAATAATAACAATAATAATAAATATTATGATTTTTTTCCTTAAAAAGAATTTTTATTTTTTTGTTATAATTCTTTTTATTGCAAAAATCTCGCAAGCTAGAAACAGTCAGATTTATTTATTTCATTTTGTTTTTGAAGAATTTTTTTATTTATTTTTGAAACCTACTTTTTAATTAGTTATATTAAATACATAAACTTTCAAATTTGAAACAAAAAATGCACTTACAACTTAATTAATAAAAATATATTTCCTCCTTTGGAAGACTCACTTAAAGAAAAATTTTACCCTTTTAACAATCCCTTTTTTTATATTTTTTATTTGGTTACTTTATTTTAAGTAACAAAATTTTTTTAATTCATTGATGATAAAATTTTTAATTTTTGTATAATACATATTTTAAAAATATATTAATTTTTAATTTTATTTATGAAATTAAAAAATTTATTATCAACATATAAAAATAAACTAATGTACTATCACTTTCATCAACCCTTCTTTCCAATTGCACCTATCTAAAATAACCCTTTAAAATTATAAAGGTCAAATTATTTACTGATTTTTTTGTTGACAAATATACTAATTTCTTTATTTACTTCAACATTGCCAGCTAATTTCAAGCTGTTGTGGGCCCTAACCTATTAAAACTCACGTCACTATTGGATTGATGGCTCTACTTTCTTTCGTTGTTGATTGAGTTCATATTTGTTGGATGGCTATCTAAAGTTAAACTTTTTATAAATACGTTACGTTTAATGTAAATAAATTTATTTAAATCAATATAAAATAAAATGTATTAAATAAAATTTAAGAATCATTTGTTGCTAAATAAAAAAATTTACATTTTGATCAAATTTAAATGTAAGAAAAAGGATTTCACAAACACAAAAATGATAAAAAAATACATAAAGTTAATATAATTTAAAATTTTAATAAAAATTATATATAAATATAAAAAATAAAAAAATATATTATATTTTTATATTAATACGATATGTAATTTTTATATAAAATATAAAATAAATACATAAATTTTTAATATTTTATATAATATAATAAATAAATTATTAGATCTAAAATATATATTAAAAATAAAAATTTTTAAATTTAAATATATTAAATAGATGTTAAAAAATATACATTTAAAATGGTTAAAAAATTAAATTCCCAACGCTATCTAAAAACATATCATATAAAAATGTGTATTTAAAATAAATTGAAAATAATTAAATTCATACAAAATTTAAAAATATTTTTATCATATTATAAAAAATAAAAATAAAAAGAAAAAATTTTAAAAGCGAAAGAAATAAAAAAATAAAAAAAAATTCAAAAACAAAATATACATATAAAAATAAAAAATTGTCCGTGCTCTCTCTTATCCACATTAGACTAGTTACCGAAAACTGTCTCACACATCACTTCAGCTCAAGGCAACGCTACCTCTTCCCAACAACAACAACAAACAACTCTTATTTCAGACACCAGAGACTCTTGTCCTTTTTGAGGAAATCTCTTTATTACCATTAATTAATTAATCAATGAAAACAAACAAACAAACAGAAACAAAATACACTCAGCTCTATTAATTTAAGTATTGTTAATGTAACCAATAGTTACTCAAACATCATTATTAACGCAATTAATTCGATATTAAGAAAAAGGCGAGAAAATATATGTATCTGTCTCCCCCTATAAAAATTAGACTAAACGTTGGGTTTTCAGGATTTCTTCTCACAGACACTGCTCCCCCTTTTTTTCTTATCAAAGCAAAGCAGATATACATATATATATAATATTTATTATAGATAGAGACTCTGCGACATAGTAATACAAGGAACAAGAAATATGTTAGGCAGAGGTTCTTGTTGATCTATGTCCCATGTTCGTGGCTTTAAAAAGCTTTTAAAGTTAGAAAAAAAGTGGGTTGTCTTATAGGAATAAAAAATAAATTAGTTTTTTTTTTTACTATTGATATATTTATAAATACAAGTTTCTTGGGTGGTGGTGGTGGTGGCGGCGGCGGCGGAGAAGTGGAGATGAATACTGGTGGTGGAGATGGTGGGGGAGGGGGGGCTGGGAGTGGTGGTGGAGGGATGGGAACAAGAGCAGGGATGATGGCAATGAGGTCATCACCGTTTACAGTGTCACAGTGGCAAGAACTGGAACATCAAGCTTTGATCTTTAAGTATATGATGGCAGGTTTGCCTGTGCCACCTGATCTTGTGCTCCCTATTCAGAAGAGCTTTGAGTCCATTTCTCATAGGTTCTTGCACCATCCCTCCAGTAAGAACAAAATGAATTTCTTTCATCATTTCTTTCTTTTTTTTCTCTCTTTTATCTTCCTCAAAACCCTCTCTTTCTCTTTTGTTATTAACTTTTAATGATTTGATGTTTTCATTTTCTTTTGTCCACTTTTCTGGGTGTGTGTGTGTGTGTTTTTTATTTATTTATTTATTTATTTGAGGAATCTTGTTTAGTGTGTGGGTGTTTTCTTGTTTAAGAAAACTGGGAAAAAATTTTCTTCTCTATTTTTCTCTTTCTTTTGCAAAGCATATGCAAGCATAATCAGATTTTTTTGGGTTTGGAATTGCTTTAAAGTTTTTGTTTGTTTTTCATAGGTAAAAGATGACCAAAATAAAGAGATTGCTCATTTGCAAGAAATGGTTTCCCCCTTTTTAATGGGTTTTAAGATGGAAGTTTTTGGTATAGATGAGTGAATATTTGATATCTCATGGATGTTTTTAGTTTCAATGGATAGTTTGGGAAACATTCCTTTTACCAGCTAAATTAATTGACTTTGAATAGCAGTGGGGGTTTGAGGGGAGGTCTCTTTACTTAGATCATTAAAATCATGTTTCAAGGACAAAGATTGGTCCCTTTTGCTATTTTTCTCAAAATTCTTACAGATAAATTCCAAAAATATTTTCTATGCTTCAATTGCTTTCCTTTCTTTTTTCTGTTAAGTTGGTTTCTTCTGGTGACATTACCTTCATCATGGATTTTGTGCTCATCTCATGTATTATCTTTATTGTTTCCTTTACTTTATAGTAGTTTATGTTAAAAGATTCTCCTAGCTGATGCCAAATCCTTTTCTTCTGTATTTCCTTAGTCATCCATGTGATATTGTAGATGTCTTAATCATCAAGTGTTTTATCACTTTTGACATTTTTTATTCATATTCTGATACTTGTGATATAGAGTTTAATAACATTTTTGCTATAATCTATTATGTTGTTGTCATTGTTGCTGATGTTATATTTTATTTAACTTGTAACATAATTTATTTATGTTTGGTCACACTTGTTCCCGTTTGTTCATGTAAACCTTGTTATAAATCAGAGTTGAGGTTAATTTTGCAGTGGGGTATTGTTCCTTTTATGGAAAGAAGGTGGATCCGGAGCCAGGACGATGCAGAAGGACTGATGGCAAGAAATGGCGGTGCTCCAAAGATGCATACCCGGACTCCAAGTATTGTGAGCGGCACATGCACCGTGGCCGTAACCGTTCAAGAAAGCCTGTGGAATCACAAACTATGGCACAGTCATCATCTACTGTGACATCATTGACTGTTTCTGGAAGCACTGGTGGGGCTGGAAGCTTCCAGAGCCTTCCATTACATGCCTTTGGTAGTACACAAGTCACTGCTTCTGGAACCACCAGTCAGTCCCATTATCATATGGAATCAATCCCCTATGGAATCCCAAGCAAAGATTATAGGTAATTCATTTTATGTGTTTAGTTTCACATAGTTTCATTCTTTGCATATTATAGAGAAAATTGAAATCAGAATTGGATCCCTTCATTATATTTCTTTTCCATTTTCAATACGTGACCATAAGAAAGGTTAGATACTATATTTTGTTGCCTTTCATTTGTGGTAATGTCTACACAATTAGAGAAAGGTATGTAACTTTGCTCGAATAATTTTTTTTTGAGGTTAACAATGTTAACCTTTTCAGGTTGTAAATTTTTGAAAATATGCTTTGTGGTATAAGTTTTGGATTTTTTTTACCTGTGGTACTGATGTGAGATATATTGTTTGTTGGGCCCATATCTGTTAGATTGTGTGTTGGGAGTAAAATTGCAGGTTCCTGCTCATTTGGGTAATGGAGATCCTGCAGAAACTTTAAAAGTTTCTGTTAAGCTCAGGGTTCTGGGCCCTGGTGTCCTCAAAGATGGATGATAAATTCAGTATCATCACAGCTGAAATATGTTCTTGGCTGACAGTCATTCTTTTCTGGTCTGTTTTTGCTTTTGTTTTCTGCGTGAAGTTCGTTTTATTGTCTGACGACCATGAGAAATTGTCCATAGCATGCTACTGGGTGAGAAATTGTCCATAGTATGCTTCTGTTTCTGCGTAGTGGGATGGGTACTTTTTTGAAGATTTGATCCAAGGATTGCCTAAAATCCGGCAACAAAAGGAAATTACTATTTCACTTCTAAATTTCATATTGCAAAAGATGGTTGTCCAAAGTTAATAACTCTTTTTTTTAACTTTTTCGTTTCCGGGTTCATGGTGATATATAAGTCTTATTATCATTGTAATTAGTTGTCACTCATGGTGTTCAAAATCTAGTTGTTCTCCGAAATGAATTTTAGAAAGCTATAGATAGTTAAATTTGCGGCTAGATTTGGTTCTTGTTGGGCCCAATGATAGTATAATGTAGTAGGTTTTATGTTGATATAGTCTTATGAATGTGGATAACGGATTGGTTCCTTGAACTTTTTAATTTTCTGCCATTTTCAGGGTTCTGGGCCCTTATGTCCATTAGGACAGTGTAGAATTCCATTGTCACAGCAGAGTGTGTTTTTTACAGTCTTCTTTTGTGTCTGTTTCTTTGCTTTCTGTTTCCTCTGTTTAAATCATTGCAGAAATCTGACAAGAATCCTGAACTAGTGGCATGTTGAGTTATTGACTCTCTGTTATCTGTCAAATGGGAAAGATGCAAAAGGCAGAATTTGCATTTAGCGTTGTTGCTGAAACCTTGTTTTAAAAGATACCTATAGAAAGTGTAACAACTGTCTGTGCCTATGTTTTACTTTCTATGATATGGTAATAAGACTTAGTAAACATCAGTTTCACAAAATTACTTTTGCCTGCTAATTTGTATGCAGTCTTTTTTTGTCTGTCCTGGTTAAACTAATCATTTCCCTTTTTATCTACAGTTCTTCACTGTTGGTAGGTTATTCTTAGCTTTAATATTTTTAAAAGCATGAGCTGTTCTACATTGCCATTAGCCTTTACTGTATAACTCTGTTGGCTTTGGACTCACTTAGTTTCTGAGTCTTTTATTGCAACGACTGCAAAATGCTCGAGGAATTGAATCATTTTCATGTTTTTTTGGTTGCTATAAATGCTCTCTCATATGAAAACAGTATAATTTGGATGTCAGAGGTTTCAGTGTCAGACTGTGCAGATTCATTTATATCTGTCATTTTCTCTAGCACATATGCTTGACTTGCATGAGTTTTGACCTGTGATGTTCTTATCATTTGAATTCCATAATTTTTGTTTTTAGCTCCTATTTTCTCCTGTTTTCCGGATGAGTTTAGAACTGCTTTTTTTCAGTGCCTTTATTTTATGTAGCTCCTAGATCTTAATCAGTTCAGGCTGCTATTGCATTCAGACAATGTTGAATTTACGTTCTTTTAATCATACTTAGTTTCGTGACATTTCGCTTTTGCTATTCTATTCAAATTGTTTGAATTCTGTGATTTGTTTTAAGTATATATGTGCATGTCTTACATCCTGTAAATGATTCCGACATAATTTAGCTGGATTATAATATGGATGTATCATAGTTTCTTATGCAATATCGAAAAAAGACCACGTAATCCTTGTCTATAACATCATTATAAAGATACAAAAGAATGAATTAAATGAACTTGTTCTGAATTTTCTGTCTGAAGATGCTAAGCATTATCTGTTTGTGTATTAAACTCCATGTTTATTGGTTTAATTATATTTTTCCCACCAGTATGCTGAGTGTACAAGCATGTCAATTTGTTTAATAATTAATAGCACTTGATATTTCAATCCGAAGCTGGTTGAACATATTTTTAATGTGTTTTACTTAATTTATTCTAACACATAGGTATCTTCAAGGAATTAAACCTGAGGTTGGTGAGCATAGTTTCTTCTCCGAAGCTTCAGGGAGCAACCGCGGTCTGCAGATAGAAACTCAACTGGACAACACATGGCCTCTTATGCAGTCTAGAGTCTCTTCGTATCCTCAGTCAAAATCCAGTGGCAACCCCATGTTACAGAATGATTACCCCCAGCATTCATTTTTCGGCGAATTCAACTCAGGAGAACCTGTGAAGCATGAGGGTCAATCTCTTCGACCTTTTTTTGATGAGTGGCCTAAAACCAGGGACTCTTGGTCAGCTCTTGAAGACCAGAGATCCAACCAGACCTCATTTTCAACAACCCAGCTATCGATATCCATTCCAATGGCTTCGTCTGACTTCTCCACAACTAATTCTCGTTCTCCACAAGGTGAGTTTCAAACTGCATACATGTTCCCCTCATATGTTTCTAAACTCTGAAAACTGCCTTGGAATTCTGCTGCAGATAGTTGAATGAACCGAAACTCGAGAATTCCGGAAGGGAATGCCCAGACAAGTTCTAGCTACTTGACTAATATTGTACTACTTGATGTTTTTCCTTTTACCTGTCCTCTATTGTTCTAGAACAGTGGGTTTTCAGTTTTCAGCTTCACTGTGTAGTATTAGTACACTGCCAAGGCTGAGGTTTTAGGTATAAAATAAAACAAACTCTAGCAGGTAACTGAAAAATCCAGAAAATTGCAGTTTTAATTGAATGAATGAAAGAGCAACAAATTTTCTGCGTGGATTTTTATTATTAAGTTGTTCCTCTCCATTAAAATTACAGCTATGTTTATAAATCTGAAGTGGTTTTGCCTGTCTTTGTGGTTGTGATTTGCTGTTATAAAATATGATAACATGCTGGTATTTTGTGTATTTATTTTATATTAAAGATGTATTTATTAACTTAAAAAAAATAAAGTCAAACACAACCTATGTGATAAAATTGTTATAAATCGATATTCAGTTCAAGGAAGATGATTGAACTTATAATTTTGACAAACGCTAAACAAACTTTAACAAGTACTGAAAAGGTTGAACGAATTAAGATGAAAATAAGATGAGAGAATTTAGCATTGAGCTGTTTTGTCGAGTGCGTAAGAAACATAAGATGACAGCACACAGGGTTGGTTAAGTAGCTGCAGGAGCCGGTTTTGATATATTGGTGGGTGGTCCTCTTTTTGGATGAACTATCAGGCCACGTCTATCATTCACTTTCCTAACTATTCGGTTCAAGCAGAACTTATTTCTTTTAGGTATTGTTTGGATAAAAATGTAAATGAATAAAAACTTTTTATAAATCGTTTGTATATATTTGATTTTTGTTTATTTATATTTATTTATTAAAATTAATTAATTATTTTAAATAATATTTTCATATTCATTTATTAAATAAATCAAATATAAATGAAGGTTTGTTTGATTTATTTATGTTACAAATAAATTTATTTAAGATTTGCTTATATATAAATAGGATTCGTATAAAATTCAATAATAATAATAATAATAATAATTTATATTTATTTTTTTATATTTTATTCTAATCTTTTTATCCTAACACTTTCATTCTTTCAATTTATTTTATAACTAGTGGCAAACAACTTTACACTTTTAACTTATTTATTATTTGTTTATTGTGTAAATTTGTTTGATAATGATTTGTTTATTGTTCATGAACATATTTACTTATTATTTGTGAACGTATTTATTTAATATTCATGAACGAATTCATTTCAATTAAACAAATTAAAAACAAACGACAGCAAATATCTTTTTATTTAAATAAATCAAACTTTAATGTAATGAACATTTTTCTTATTAAATACAAATTGATCCCGAACAATTTAAAAATAAATGAATAAATCATATACATATATTTTTTTGTTCATATTCGGTTCGTTTATAACTTTATATTTGGTATAGAGTGCTCACTCAAAAAATTGGTGGTCTATATATGGTTATTAGATTACTTTATTTCATAATCACTTAATGATCTTGTGTGGTGATGATCTTAAATCATTAAAAGTAATTATATTACTACATTGAAAAATAATCTAATTTTCATAAAATAATGGAATACTTTTATTATTGAGGTAAAATAATATGTAAAATTAATAATAATTAATATTATCAATTTAATATATGAATTAAAAATTTACCTATTGTCAAAATCAATTGCAATTATTTTATATTATAAATTTTATATTTTCAAACCACATGCATTATAATAAGTTCAAAAAATAGTTTGTGTAATTTCTTTTGAAAATGTTAATTTATATATAATATAATCTTTTGATTTTATTTTTTAACTCAAATATTTTTACATAGTTTATACTATAAAAACTAATTTATCTATCAATAAATATATTTTTAACTTAACAACATTTTATTATCAAGTAAATAAAATATTAATAATATTTTATAAATTATTAATTTTAAATAATATTGAAATCATTAACTTGTTTAGTTATTATAATGTGTATGATTATTTTGATATTTAAATAAAATTCTATTTGATTATTAGTAATAACAAATACATTGATATTTAATTACTAAAAATTAATAATTATTAATCAAAATAAAATAATTTCAAATTATGAGATCATTTTGATAATTAAACTTTTATAATAATTTTTAAATAAAAATAAATACAAAAATTAACATATTAACACTTGATAATTGAATTTTGAGCCATGATAGGATCTTGGGCCTTTTAGATTCCGTCAGATGCCTTGTGTCAGTCATCCAACAAATGATAAAATTATGTGCAAACACACGTGGTTTAGCATTTTCCTAGGGTTTAAAAAAAATTTTGTTCCTGTTTCTCCAAAGAATATAGTAAATAAGGCTCCAACATCAATGACAGGTAATGAAACGAGATAATAAATAAACGACTATAATCACTCTACATTAAAAAAAAAAAAATCTCATGCATCAATAATAAAATTAAAAAATTTCATCAACGATATTAGTAATGTGATATATATTTTGTAGAGAATATTTTAAAAAATTAATTAAAAATAAAATATGTGATAAATTTTTTATTCGTTTGCAAAATTATTTTTTTTAACAAAAATATAAATAAAAAAAATTTGATTCACTAAGTGAACGCATATGATTATAAGATTGGTAATGATCAGATCGGAATGAATTTTTGTTCGTCTTGAACTCGATTCGATTTTGTATCTATCAAATATGAATATGGTTGACCTAAAAGTTTTTTATTTTTTTCATACTCAATTGATTCGATTTGAAATTAATAAAATATTATTTTTAAATATAAATATTTGAATATATGATTATATAAATATATATAAATGAATAATTAATTAATTAAAAAATTAATTTTTATACAAATATTAGATCAAGTTGAGTCGAGTTTGTCTAAAACCAAAATTCGATTCGACTTCGATTTTTTTTTTAATAATATTTAATCCGATTCTATTTGAAATTTGATTTAAAAAAATTGATCATATAAAATTAAATCGAATCAAAATTCGTCGAAAATAAATTAAGTTACTAACACTATATGTGTTATATACGAATAACCCGGGTGTAGGCTTGAATGATTGAAGAAGTGTATTTAGGAAAGAATTTAATGTAGTTGGTAGACAATCAAATTCACGTTTTAAATTTCTTTTGTACTTCACTATAGTAAGCCTTTTGAATTAAATTATTGGGTGGGCAAGTAAATTTTAATGGCAGGCAAGGTTTTTCACAAGAAATCATAGATGCAAAACATTGATTTATCATTTATACTTAATATTCTATTATATGAATTTTGTTTTAATATTGATTAAGAAAAAATACTTAAGTTTGAAATTTCCGCACTCTCCCAAAAAAAAAAAAAAACCTATAAGAAAGAAAAGTGGTGGGGGCCCAAGGCCATGCTGGTGTTAAAGCCGTCGGTTGTTGTGGCGGAAAGTGAAAGCTGCCTCGATGAACTAAACATCATAAGTTAGTGTGCTTCCTCTCCTTTGCTTTTTAATCATTGCTCAAAAAAATATTAATTATGAAGTTTTTTATTATTCGATAAAGTTTTAATAAAACATTTTATCATATAATTATTAATCTTTAATTATATTTAAACTGATAACTTAACATCAATTATCAGTATCATATCATGATTTTATTATATCATTTGAGATAGTATTGTTGATATAACAATATTTTTTTCTCATTTTTTAAATTATTTCAAAATTCTCTTTTTATTTTTAACTTTTAAGTGCTTAAAACAGTTATTTTATTACATTAATTTTATTTATTTATGAAAATTGAAAGAAAAAAGAAATATTTTACAAATAAATTTTGAAAAAATAAAAATAAAGTTTCTTGATTTTTATTTTTGTAAATCTAATTAATAAATTAATACTCTTTTTGTTCTGAATTATTTTGATAGTATTAATTTTTACGGAGTTTAATTAAAATTTTGATTTTAATATATTTAATATTAAAATTTAATTCTTTTATAAAATTAAAGTTTCATAACTTTTAATGTCAAAAAATTTTAAAAATCATAAAAAATAATTTTAAAATATAAAAGGTAAGAGTTTGAAATACTAAAAAAATGACATAATTTTGAAATATCTAAAAAATGGACAAAAAAAATGAGACAGAGTGAGTAAAATTAAATATAAGTTAACAAATCGTAATTAAGAGAAAATTTAACAGATAAATTTAAAATTAAATTTATAAATGATGGAACATGATGAATATAAGAGTCTATTGGGTCAAGAAGAAAGGACATTATTGGGCCAGAGTTTGAACTACATTGGACCTATTTTCGTTTTTGGCCTTGGTCTTTGAATTCTAACAAATTCTGACAAAGTTTTTTTTTTAGATATAAAAATCAGTTCAAGAAAACAAGCGAAGTAAAAAGAAAGAAACGGAAAAGGAAACGTTTCAACTGTAAATGGTACCCAAGCCAACCGAAACCGAAACACAGCGTCCTCCCCATTGCTAAGGAAACTACTCCAACAGATCAGCAACATACAAACAGAAGAGAGAAAATCTAGAGAACAAGAAAGAGCAAAAGATTTGGAGAAAAGAGAAAAAAGAAAAAAGATGGGGTGGGGATGGGCGGTCTACGAAGGAATGGTGGTAATGGGATCGCTAGTTCTTCTAGGATGGACAGGTCTTTGGTTCTTAAACCGAAGGCTTTACAAAGAGTACGAGGACAAAAGAGCTTTGGTTCAAATCATTTTCAGTATTGTTTTCGCTTTCTTTTGTAACCTTCTCCAGCTTGTTCTTTTCGAGATCATCCCTCTTCTCTCCAGAGAGTAAGAGCCACAGCTTGTTCTCTTCTCTCTCTCTGTCTATCTGTCTTTGCATTTTCTTTTTGCTATTTTGGTAATGGGTTTTTGTAGTTTAGTCTAGGTGTTGCTTTTTTAGGAGTTAACTAAATTTCTATATATATTTAGGGGTTTTGAGTGTTTTTAGTTATATGGCTTTTGGTTGATTTGTTAATGGAAAAAAGGAAGTAGAAATTGGGATTGTTCCTGTTATTCCGAGACTGATTCAATTCTTGGAGACTGGTGAATGTACTTTGCATATGGGGTTATTAGTTGCTTCTTCTTTTTTTTTTTTTTTCATTACCTTTTGGTTGTTATTTTGATTACTTGCTGTTTGCTTTCAGAATACTGGTGTGCTTGTTTGTTTGTTTTAGAAAATCTATGGGGCATGGCTTTTACCTATGTGAATCTTTATGTGTAACTAATTCACTTCTATGTACATATGATATTTAGTTTCTTCGAAGAGAGTGTGATTAGGAAAAAAAGGGTGTTTTTAGAAT